GAGGATCACTTTCCGTCTGCCTTTCAGCGCTGGTCTTTGGGGTTGTGCAGTGGAAGCTGAGATGAGGCATGTGTGAAATTTAACCTGGTTCTATCAAGCCATTATCTCTCCAGGCCAACACCACGGTAACAGAACGTAGACACCAGACTGGCAACTTCCTTCCTCTGTGGTGGTCAGCAACCACCAAACTGTATGATAAGCCCACTCTCTAGTTTCCACTAGAGACACTACTTCTATAGTGAGTCCCAGGCCAATGTTACAAAATAGGATCTTAGGCCACTGCTGACTCATACCCAATGGATCTGGTTCCACCTTCCTCCCAAAAGGCTTCTCTAACTATTCCAGCCCACCAGGAACCCTGGTTGTTGTTGTTGAGTGGTGTCAAATGGATTCTGACTCATAGCTACCCTATATGACAGAGTAGAACTGCCCCATAGGGTTTCCTAAACTGTAATCTTTATGCAAAGGAGCTTGAGTGGTATAGTGGATAAGGCATTTGGCTGCTAGCCAGAAGGTCAGCAGTTCAAACCCACCAGCTGCTCTCTGTAGAAAGAAGATGGGCTGATCTCCTTCCATTAAGATTTATAGCCTCGGAAACCCAGTGGTGGTTGGTATGAGTTGGAATCAACTCGATGGCAGTGAGTTTGGTTCGGTTTTTAATCTTTATGGGAGGAGATCATACTTAAAATCATTTTCATACAGTGCAGCACTTCATCAGCCTTCCTATTATTCCGTGGTGTCAGCCTATTCTCCTCAGCTCCTAAGGGCAAGATGACTTCCCTCCCCTAGCACTCAGGTGATGTCCCACCAGGCTTTCAATAAATATTGACTGATAGGGGGTAACGTTTCCCTGGAAAGGCTCATGAAAGAATCACGAGATAACAAATGGGAGGCAAGGAGGAATATTTTCTTTTGCCAGAATCTTAGGCAAGTGTAAAATTAGAAGAAGCAACTGCTTAAAGCAGAAGGAAACATTCCAGCTTTTCATTTCTAGGCTATGGTGACAAAGCAGACAAAAGTTACTCCTGGCAACTCACAATCTACCACAATTAAATTAATTCCAGTGTCACTTCCTGCAGGAATCTCTTTATTTCCTCCTCCAACCCAATCCAATAGCAAGTCCTTCAAAAGCAACTCTACCTTCAACTTATCTCCACACTGTACCCAATAGCTCCTCTGATATAAGTCTGTAGGGTGGTTGAGCAGAAGACCAATTACAGAACAGAGAGGGTAGCTGGTCGGATAAAGGGCCAAGTGAGCCCCAGGCCTCCTGCACTGGGAAACTTTGGTCTTTCCTCCCAAAGATCCCCATTCCTGCCTGAAATCCTCACTATCAAAGGTCATTCCAGGGAGCTCACTCTCAAGTGGAAGGCATAATGTTGGGGTTGGAAGAGAGCATGAAAAGACTGTCTCATCATACATTGTGGCTGGGTGCTATCGAGTCGATTTGGACTCATGGTGACTCCATGTGACATAGTAGAACTGATCCACTAGGGTTTCTGGACTGACATTTATGGAAACAGATCACTACATTTTTTTCCCCATGGAGCCTGTGGGTGGGTTCCAGCCACCAACCTTGCAGTTAGTAGCCGAGCACTTAAGCCATTGCACCATCAAGTCTCCTTTATTGTATATTAATGAAGGTCATTAGATTGGAGGTTGTCTTAGTTATCTACTGTTGCTGTAACAGAAATACCACAAGTGGATGGCTTTGATGAACAGAAGTTATTTTCTCACAGTTTAGGACAGAAGTCCAAATTCAGGTCGTCAGCTTTTGTTGTTTGTCAGCTCTGGGAGAAGGTCTTTGTTTCCTTTCAACATCTGTGGGCCTGGTGTCCCTTGGAGATCTCATGTATCTTGGCATCAATCTTTCTCTGGATCTAGGAGGTTCTCAGTGCAGGGACTGTGGGTCCAAAGGACATGCTCTGCTCCCAGCTTTTCCCTCTTGGTGGCAGTCAGGTCCTCTTCTCTCTATTTACTTCTCTCTCCTTTTATCTCTTGTAAGATAAAAAGTGATGTAGACTACCCCCAGAGAAGCTCCCCTTACATTGGATCAGGGCTTTGACCTAAGTAAGGATGTTGCATCTCACCCTAATCCCCTTACAACTGATTGGCTGATCACATCAGATCACATCTGATTACAGGGGGATGATTACATCATCACATAACTTCCAAACTACATCACTACATAACTGCCAAACCACTGAGAACAGTTGACACAGATTTTGGACACAATTCAATCCATGACAGAGGTTAAGCAGAAATTCGGGCTCTGTGGGTATGGGAAGCAGGAGGTAAGTTTTGGTGGGCAGGGAGCAACAGTGTGGGAGACCAGGGCACGGCCCAGAGAAGGCAGCCTTGGATATGGTGTCATGATGGGGTCCTTGGGCAGCAGGGTAGGGAGGGGGAAAGCATAAAGCAGTGTCAGCTGGTGAGAATTCAGAGTGTGAGACAAGTAGGAGGTGAGGACTAGAACTGGGTGAAGGTTCCTTGAAGACAAACCTAACCTACTTCACACATGAAGATGCGTCGCCTCAGGAATCTTTCCTGTAACATTAGCTCTGCTGGCTGACTGTGCAGAATGGAAAATGGAGGCGTCATTCTCCAGGATCAGAAGACCCTGGGACAAGGAAGGAAATCAACCACCAAGGAGCACTTTCTGTGTGACAGAACAACTTTACATACATTACCACCATTTGTTCTCATAAGGCCAAGACAGGCCATTAAGAAAGCTGCCCAAGATCATCACCATTTGAAGGTTAAGTGAGCTGCCCAAGGTCACAGAACTAGGAAGTATCATTCCTGGGATTCAAACCCAGGTGTCAGGCTGACTTGGGACACTGTGCTGTTCCCATTGACCCTCCAGCCCTAGGCAGTTGCTCCAAACAGAGGTGTGTACTGCAAAGGATGCTTTGCATTGCTCAGCCTCTCCTCACCTCCAGGGGTGGATCCTCTCCTCACTTCTTAAGGTGTGATTTAATGTCAAAGCAAAACTAAGACACAGACAATCCCATTCTTATTTCCTTTGCAGGTGGCATACCTGCCTCACAATGTGCAAAAAACAGCAATGACAAGAGAGTGCGTAAAAGGGAATTTCCTGAGTGGCTGGCCTCCAGTACTAGTATTTAATAATTTGTAAATGTAGGAAATTGTCTAAATGTTGAAACATAAAAATAGCCCACTGCTGAGCCAATGAGGCATAAGCGCTAAGAGGGACAACTCAGTCAGAAGGGTCAGGTGTGCTTAACCATTTCCTTCGGAGGTGTGGTGTGGGTACTGGGCCTGGTACCCAGACAACTGCCTTCTTATACATGCTCTGCCTTTTAACAATCTCTGGTCTATGGAGGAACTTCTGAAGTCTCTGGGCCTGCTGCCTCTCTCAGGAAGGGAGGGGATGACACCCACCATGCCTATTGGTCCAGCAGGATATGAGTGTATCTTGGCTGCTTGGCTTTGCTTCTGTGACTTGGCCCATGCTGTGCCTGAAGCCTGAAGATCTGAAGACCTGCTCTTCTCTCTTCTCCACACAAAAAATCCCTCCCACTCTCAAGCCCTTCCTCCTGTGGGAAGCTGTCTCAGGCTCCTACTTTCCAGACTCACCCTCTGGCCTGCCCCATTAACCTGTCCAAATTGAATGCTGGGACCTTCAGAATTGCACCCTTCTCTTTCATCTGCAATCTTTATATCCATACCCTAGTTGGATGTCCATCCCTTCCTTTAGCGTTGTTAAAAATCTTAGTAATTCTTAGCTCAGGTACCATGTCCTCTGAGAAGCCTTCCCTGGCCCTCTCCCACCCCATCCACGTACCATCCTGGTTGGCTGTGGTCTGAGCTTCCATAGCACTTGATGCCTGCTGTTGTTATGTGCCATTGAGTCGGACCCGACTCATAGAGACCCCTCCTTGGGTTTCTGAGGCAATCACTACAGAAGTAGATTGCCCAACCTTCCTTCTGTGGAGTGGCTGGTGCACCAGCCTTTTGGTTAGCAGTCAAGGGCCTTAGGCACTATGCTACCAGAGCTCCTCCCTATATTAAGTGCTAACTTCCTCCTATACTCTCATTGACTGTGGCCCTCAGCCTAGATGCTGAGCTCCTTGATGGTAAGGACTGAAGGTCTTTATCATATTGGCATTTCCAGATGTGCCTGGCCGGTGGAAAGCTCCCATCAAATGTCAGGCAAAGGAATGAATAAATGGATTTCTATGGCAGTAATACCGTTTCCCACAGTTCCTCCAATGAGTTCATAACCCTCTTCCCTGAAGGGTCATACAACATCATATATTTCACCTGAAGGCTTCTCTGTGCCACGCTCAGTGCCTAGTAGGTGCCCAGAAAACGCTGGTGATTTAGTTAGGTGATGAATTATCCATTGCACTGAATACCCCCAGTCACCACCTCCCAGCCTTTAGCATGGCCAATGGAAAATTAATTGGTTGCAAAGCGCATATCTAATTACAACATCCCGCCCCTACCACTGAGATGCTCAAATGTTAATTATAACATATGCATCTCAATAACAGACGTCAGCGTTTAATGCAGCATTAATAGTGCCATTTGGGCCGCCCAGTCTGTACACAAAGCTCCCTTTTATCTGCCATTCCGACAGAATGCACTTGAAGCGCATTAAGTCCTCATCCTTAAAGCCTTCCTGTCCTTGAAACCAAACGTTTCCCCGAAATCAAATATTTCTCTGCCAGCCTGGCCCACGCTTAAGGTCCCAGTTCTCCCAACGCAGAAGTCCCCACCCAGGGCAGCGCCAGTCGCCGCGGCGTTGGGCGGTGGCTTTCGGCGTCGCAAAACTGGGCTGTCTCGGCTGCTCCGGCAGCATCCCCGGTGCGCCAGCGACGAACCGCTCTCCAGGGCCCGCCATCCCGGGAAAGAAAGGCGAACTACATTACCCAGCAGGCCTCCTGCCGCCCTCTTCCCTTTCAAGTCCTTGCACGTGGCCGGAGGGGAAGGCGGGGCTTGGACGTCACCCTCCAACATTCTCTTTTCCCTGTGTCAGAACAGGGATCTTTTTTTTTCCCCTTCATCTACTCCCTCCCCCCCTTCCCACCCCTCCCTCCCTCCTTTCCTTCCCTCCCTCCCTCCCCTCTCCGCTGGTTCTGCGCGCTGGGGCGCCAGGTCCCCTCCGCAGCCGGGACGCGCGCAACTCGCGGCAGGAGTCAGCTCTTTGGAGCCTCCTCCCTCCCTTCCCCTTCCCTGCCCCCTTCCCCCACCCCGACTCGGGCTGGAACTGCGGCCTGAGGAGCCCTGAGGTGAGCATCCCCTCGTCCGTTCTTTCCTTTTAGTCATCGTAGCTGGCAGATCGATTCCGGGACCCGGGAGGAGGGCCGGTGACGTGCGCGTGCCAATGGATAAATCCGGAAAAAGCACCCTAAACAATTAACCCCCTTTCCCTCCCCGCGCTGCGGGCTGCCGGGCGTCCGCACCCACCCGCCGCCCTCCCACCCTCGGTTGGGGAAGGCATCCCGCTGCCTCGTCCCCTCCTAGAGTTGGCCCCGTCCCCCGCCCCGGAAGGAACCGTGGCCCGGAGCTCCGAAGCCGAAGGGAGCTTGGGTGGACGCACTGCTGGAGCCCGGCTCGCGTCGGAGCCGCGCAGTGTGGCCGCTGTCATGAGCCAGATTCCGACCCCGGGAGAGGAAGGGAGCGGGTGTGATTCCGCTCCCTTTTGTTTTGAAGCCAGCATTTGCTGCATCGAACAGTCGCAGTTCAGTACCGACCAAACTTGCAGCTGTTGCTGACCGCGCTCGGCCGAGGTAGGAGCGTAGCTCGGGGTGGCAGTTTGGGGCTGCGGACGGGACCCCCAGCGTATGTCTCCACGCCGCCCCTCCTTCCCTGACGACTATGTCTGTGGCCGCCGCCGTGTGTGAGTGTGTGTGCGCGCCCGTCCCCGCGGGCGCGGGGATGTCTGTCGTCTAGACACACTACATCCCTCTCCCAAGGTCCCCGGTGAGCTGGGGGATGGGAGCCGAGGAGGAACCGAATCGGTGGAGCCATTGCGGGCGCAGGTTTGGGCATTCCCCGCGGTTGTGCTTCTGCTGGCCTTTTAATGATCATTCCTGTTGCCGCTGTGTACTCGGGCCTGGGGAATAGAGGGTTAAGTTGACAGCCTCGGAGAAAAGCCAGCTCGCAGTGGCGAGTGTCCTGAGCGGCTGGGTGGTGGGCTCCAGCTCGGGTTCGTCAGCACCATGAGCAGGTGACTGCCCCCGGCGCCGGCCGTGGAGGAGAGCGGGCGGGGGGTGAGGGCTGGTCTGAGGCCGAGGTCTGGGGACCCGAGGACCGCGGGCCCAGCCGGAGTGCTCCCGGAGGAGGAGTCCCGGGCACCGCGCGACTGAGCTATTTCTCTCCATTGGCGTCAAAAGACAATCGAATGGCTGAGCCCGTTGTTGGGCAGCTCGGGTTCCGTGGGGTTTCGCGGAGTTTTCAGGCTCGGGCTGGTGCGCGCGCGCGTGCGCGCGCGTGTGTGTGTGGAGTTAGGGGGTGCAGCGTGTCGGGGGGAAGGATGGCTGGCAGCGCCGCTGTGTGCGTCCCCACCCCGGGGAGTGAGGCGTCGCCTCCCCCGCCCAGCTGTTTGTGTGTGCGTACACACCGCTCTGGAGTGTGTGGGGGGCGGGGACCGCGGACCGCGGCGTAAGGGGGACGCGCGCTGCTCAGGGTGCCCCCCGCGGGGAGCTGCGGAAGCCAGCCCCCTCCCGTCGCGCGAGCCCTCCAACTAGGTTCTTTGACATGTGTGTGTCCAAGCACGCGCGCACACGCGCGCGCGCGCCGGGGCTACTCGGAGTGGAGGTCTTGTGTCTGTGAGCAAAAGACCCTGGGGTAGCTTGTGCTCTCCGCCGCGCGGCAGGAGTTACACCGTCGCCCCCTCCCGGTCTGCGAAGTCCCTGACACGGCGAACTGGCCGCCAGCCTGGTGGCGCTGGAACTGGTCCGGCTGGGCCCAAAGGAGCCGCGGCCTTGCGCGTGACTGCATGTTGCTGCCCCCACGACAGCTTTGGTTGACCTTTGCACTGAGGCGGTCTGTGGGAGAGTATCGTCCAGTTCTCTGCCCCGGGAGCGGTGGGGACCGCGGCTACCTGGCGCGCAGCTCCCACTGCTGCAGGCGTGCCCAGCGTCCACACGCCTTGCCCAGTGCCCACTGCGCTTGGTGTGTCTGCACCCAGGGGATCATTTAGGGCCCGAGCGGGAAGGGAGAAGCCGCTGGAGCTGTAGGCCGGCAGCTGGAGGCTCCCAGGGCAAAAGTGACACAGCATGATCGCCCGCCCCAGCTGGGGAAGACGAAGGACTGCCCAAAGGGGCGGATGGAGAGGGGCCTGCCTAGCATTCTGGCCCTGTTCCTCCGATCCAGCCTGGGGTCTGGGCGGAAAACCTCAGGAATCCTGGCTCCTAGAGCGCCCATTCTGTGTGAGGAAACTGTCTAGCTTTAAAGACGACCCCATTATGCGGGAACAGAGGGCACCGGCCAGACTTTAGGAGATGTGGAGCCCCTCAAGGATGCCCTCGGGTTACCCGAGGAAACCCTCTCTGAGTATTTAAAACAGGACTCGGTTTACACAGAGATCATCTCATCTGTTGTGTCAGGTGTCTGTCCTGGAAAATTTTTGCGGCAGAGGCAGTAACTTTGTAAGGCATTCTGGGCACAGTGTCATCAGTGATTAACAGATTACTAGAATAGTAATATGTTTGTATGACTTTACAGGGTGGATTTTCATGTGTCATTGAATTTATTACCAGGGTCCTGTGAGGTAGGGGGGTATTAACCCCATTTTTCAGATGAGCAGGCTGAGAAGGGAAGTGACTTGCCTAAGGCCTCTCAGTAGAGGAAGGGCTACTTTCCCCTTGCTGTGATTTCTCTTCTCAGCCTATGACTTTTTATTTAAATAGTGGCCACTCTTTTTGAGAGTGGGTTCTTGATACCTCAGGAAATACTAAACCTGAGAAAGAAGGTAAATTGTGCTGGTATTTATTCTTTGTCAAAAACTTTTGATTTGCTAACAACTCCTAGTGAGAATTGCCAGTGAAGGACAAAAGTATACATTGATATTACAATCACTCACTTAATAATTTATTGGTGGTGAATAGATTCAGCTGCGATATACGATATACGCAGTATATACCAGAGTCATACCCACATGTAATAAATGCATATGACATATGCATATATAAGGAGGTGCCGGGGAGCTCTGGTGGCGTAGTGTCTAAGGCATTTGACTGCTAACCAGCAGGTTGGTGGTTCAAACCCACCAGCCACTCTGCCGAAGGAAGACAGAGCAATCTACTTCTGCAAAGATGTATTGCTTTGGAAACCCAGTGGGAGTTGCTGTGAGTTGTAATCAACTCGATGGCAGTGAGTTTGGTTTTTGGTTCTTATGCATGTATATGGGAGCTCTGGTGGTGTAATGCCTGAGGCATTTGACTTCCAACCAGAAGGCTGGTGGTTCAAACCCAGCAGTCACTGCTTGGAAGGAAGACTGGGAGATCTACTTCCGTAGAGGTACCACCTTGGAAACCCAAGGAGTGGCTATGAGTCGGTTTCAACTGGACGGCAGTGAGTTTGGGTTTGGTATGCATATATATGTGTGTTACAGAAGTTCCTGGGTGACATCAGTGGCTAAGTATTTGACTACTAGCCAAAAGGCTGTCAGTTGGAACCCACTCCGAGGAACCTTGGGAGACAGGCCTGGCTGAATGTAAGAAGGGAAGTGACTTGGTTCTGCTTCCAAAAGGTCACAGCCTTGAAAACCCTATGGAGCAGTTCTACTCTGGACGTGTGTATAAGTTGAGTCAGAGTCAACGTGATGGCAGCCCAAAGCAATAACAACACATGGTCTACATGTTAACAAAACACATGTGCATGTTCATCTGAGTGTATTCACAGAGTCTTTTTTGCATCTGAAGCTTATTTTTTAGTTACCAGTTTCAGAGCTGGTAAAATGTGGGCCCCTGAGAAACCTTCCGAGACCATGTGCCCTGGCCCCCTCCATGTCCTGGGATGAGGAAGCCCAGAAGAGAGCAGAGCTGGTCCACGCCTGTGTGCTTTCTCAGATTGCAAATACATGAAGGCTCTCAGGTGCAGCCTGGGGGTTTTCAGGTTTGGCCAACCCATCAACCAGTCAGTCACCTACTGACCACCTACATATGTGTATATTTAGAGGGGCATACAAAGAGAATTTTAACACATGGTCCCTGCCTTCCAGAAATACATGTTTGTTGTGAATATAAGTGTAAGAGTTTAAGCCCGGCAAATGTTGAGCACCGACCATAGATTTGATACTCTACTGAGTTGGGAACACAGAAAGATAATGTAGTTGTTACAATGCAATAAAACTGATGATTCAGAGCCTGTAGGGGAGGAACAAACCATAAATATTTTAGGACATTCCTCCTGGGGCTTAGTCCATTTCACATATGTTGCTGCCTAGGCACCCATAATGCTAGTTCTTATCATAGAACAAATGCAAAAGGAAGCATTGGGGATACTCACTGCCGTGGAGTGGGATCTGACTCACAGCAACCCTCCTTGGGTTTCTCAGGCGGTATTACTATGAAAGTAGATTACCCAATCTTCCTTCCAAGGAGTGGTTAGTGGGTTTGAACTGCCAGCCTTATGGTTAGCAGTCAAATACCTTAGGCACTATGCCACCAGAGCTAGAAGACCCTTGATGCCTCTTGTTATCCCAGACTTCAAGCTTTTTGGAACTTCACAGTTGGCCCAGTGGTGAGTTCTTCTATAGAAGTTAGGTAGCTTATGGGAAATAAGCCAACCAACTGGTTTGTCCTCTGAGCACTGAAGAGCTGACTAGATGCTCTCCATGGTATCCGGTGCCACACCCCCACCCTACCCCCATGATTCAGTGGTAGGCTGTGGCTTTTGGTCAAGGACTCACTCAGGCCTTGGCTGGATTTAGTAGTTCCTGTCTTGCAAGTCTCTCTAGGTTCTTTAATAACTAATTGCAATTGTAGAACTGTGTTCCATAGAGTTTTCAATGGCTGACTTTTCAAAAGTAGATCACCAGGCCTTTCTTGTAAAGTGCCTCTGGGTGGACTAGAACCTTCAACGTTCTGTTAGCAGCTGAGCACATTAACCATGTGCACCACCCAGGGATGCCAATGTTTTAATATAGGTCTGCTTTTAGTCTTTTCCCAAGCCACATTTCATGATCCCTGACATTCGCCAATTGCATCTCAGTTTTGGGATGCACTGCCCTTGTTTTAAGGTTCTAGTTCACTGCCCTTGTCTTAAGGTTCTAGTTCAAATCACAGAGAAGGAAGCAGAAGGTGGTGGTTGGAATGGAGAGACTCCCAAGCCCAGATAGAGAACAGGAGGTACGAACAGACGGGCAAATTGCATGCAGCCTTTGAGAAGTCGCCAAGCTTGATGGCATTTTTGCATAACTTACTCAGTAATGTGGCAGCCCCTTTTGATGTTCATTTGTAGGAGGATCATGTTTGATGGAGTGGAGAGAGGGGACCCTTTACCTCTGGGCCTCACTGCTGACTCACTGGTCACCTGAGTTTGGCTGCTTACACTGTGGCATAGGTTTTCTTCCTCCTTCCTGCATCAGCCTGCAGGGAATTTAATTTAAAATGTTGCTGTGTTGCTGTCAAAGTGATGGTGGCCTTCTCCCTGAATCACTATGGAGCTATTGATAACTGCCTCTTATTTCTGAATTCAGCCGGGGCCTGAGCTGTAGGTTAGAACAGAGTGAGAACACACATACCCTCAGCAGTGGCATCACTATGGTTGGTGTCACTCACTG